GTGTGTGTGTGTGTGTGTATATGTATGTGTATATATATATACACCTTGCTACGTGTACTGCGTTAGGAATAATGAAATAAATGAAACACAGTGGAGGGTGTGGAAGAATTTTGCCTAGATGTTGCTTTCGTTTTCCCATTATAATGCATTCATTGTCTCTGGCTCATATAAACGCGGAAGAGTGACAACAAACATTAGCCTACTTTCGTTTCGTGGGAAGTCGCTTCATTAACAAGGTTCCATGATTTTCGAAACAGTCAGTAGTTTCGCTCTCGTTTTGTCTTTATATTTAACGAGAGTGTGTTATTCGTCAGTCCGGGGCTGCAGAGCCGCGCTGCTGGAGTCTGATCGTCTCATCCGTCAGCTGTGATCATGTTGTGTTTTTGGGGAGCGCAGGTCAGAGAGGGGCTCGGGCTGGTGCCGCCGGACAAAGTCAAACATGGCAATTCTGGAATACGGTCCGTGTGTCCGACAACAAAAGTTCAGGACATGTCAGCTGGACGGAGTTTTGTTGGATTCATCCGGGATGGGAAGGTCTCGGTCCTGAGATTGCGCAGTGAAGACTGTGATCATGATGGAAAACTAAGTATGATACACTAAATGACACTTCATTTATAAATTTGAAGACATCATTATATAATACTTAACAGATAAAGTTCTTGAATCTTTTATTTTCATACATTTATATTTGAAATTACAAGAGCTCCTGAGCTATACTGTAGGCTATAATGTTTGTGACTTTTTAATGAAATTGGAATTAATTATAATTATATAAGTGTCTGTTTGTTCATTTAAAGTCTGAACAGAAGTTGAACTGATGAATATGTTTTATTCACTGCAGAGCCTCTAAAGCTAAAGAATGACAGAATCAGACTGATTGTCTGTGGAGGAGATGGTGCGGTTCTTCTTGCTTATGGAGGAAAAGTTCTCATTCTGGATAAACCCACTGTGTGGAGGTTTGTTTATGTAGGCATAACAGTATAAATTACCATAAATGATAAAAACAGATATCTATCTGACAGATTTTCTTGTCTCTAAGGCCTCTCAAAGGTCTGGATAACAGGCAGGTGATTCAGATCGCATGTGGAGACCATCATTCAATGGCACTAACCCACGGTATTAACAACTATTCCATCTAACATCTAACGTTTTGCTTTCATCTTTTGAGATCTTATGACTGACATGAATTGTTTGACATTTGAGATATTCAGATCTGTTGCTCTTTCAGATGGTCAGTTGTTGGTATGGGGTGAGAACTCTCATGGTCAGCTGGGTTTAGAGAAAGATCATCCCGGCTCTCCGTCTGCTCAACATGTTCAGAGTCTGAGTGGGATCCCACTGGCTCAGATCAGTGCTGGAGGAGACCACAGCTTTGGGTTGTCTCTCTCTGGAGTCGTGTTTGGATGGGGAAAGAACTCTGCTGGACAACTGGGCCTCGGAGACACTACAGGTCTTGTTTCATCATGTAAAAGCTAAATCAGTAATAAAACTACATATAAATGCACTAAGTTTGTGCAATACTGTGTCAAATCTATATCAAAGCATGAATATGTAAATGGATTTACTGTTCCCTTTCGAATGGTCTCTCCCTTTGCATCAAGGATGCTTATGGGGAAACTTCAATTTACTCTGATACTGAAGCCTGAGCTCTCTGTCTCCCAGCAAGCGAGTAGTCTTTCTGGGGACAATTATCTGTTCTGCTCAGATGCGGACATGGATTACACCGGAATGCTCCCTGATAATTCAGCTGCTAGCGGTGTCATTCAGACTCGGGACTTCACGTCCCCTCAGGGATTTTCAGAGGATGCTCGGCCTCAGGTCAGCTGCTTCCTTTGTGATTCCTCTGGGCCTGCTTCACATGCGGACCCTCCTGTATTGGCTCAAAGCCCATGTCCCCTCCCACGCTTGGCGCCTGGGACTTTTTCATCTCAGGGTAACCCACCTCTGCATCAGAGCCGTGGCCCTTTGCAAAACCCCTTGCCTGTTTCAATCAGGTGTTGTCGTGTCTTTTTCCTCTGTTCTTAGAAATTACACTCAGTCTTGGGTTTTTTTTAAGTCAAAAGAAATACACTTTATTTCAACAATCAGAATAAAGTGGAGAATCTCTGCAGAGAACATCTCCAGAACTTCTTTGAATCTTCCTTTTTATACATTTGGATTTGGAGGCGTGGGGTAAATATTCCATATAGTTTTTCCATACATATAATGGTTCCTTTGTGCATATCATTCTCCCTAGAGACAAAAGCCCATCCTCTCTAGTCTTGTTATGTTAAAGAAAGCCCCCCCACTTATGGTTTTTACAGATGTTTCTCATCTTAGGTTTGGACTCTTAGCCACGTAGGCATGTTTTTCCACACAGGCATATAGGATTATAATGGAAGTATAACTAGATATATTAATGGCTAGATTCGCCTTGATTATACTTGATTAATTCCTATTTGGATGAATAAAAATCTTCTACAGTGTCCCGTTGGGACTGACCTCCAGGAGGAAGGTGGTCACGACAGATGCCTCCAACTTGGGTTGGGGAGCTCTGTACGAGGGCAGACCGGCGTTCGGCTCCTGGTCAAATCTGGAGCAATGCTTACACATCAACTGCCTCGAGATGAGCCACTCCAGTCAGCCGACTTGTGGCCCCTGTCGCTTAAGACCACCCTCCTTTTGGCTTTAGTATTGGTCAAGCCAGTTGGTGACCTGGAAGCACTGTCAGTCAGTGTTTCATGTCTTGAGTTTGGGCCTAACGACTGGTCATTGCCATCTACCTTCACCAGCCGCTTAAGTTTACCTAATCCCCTCTGTAAGTGGTGAAGGTTTTGTTATGCAGTCCTCAGCCTAAGCGGCTTGGGTCTCATTGTTAGCTCAGGTTTACAGGAGCCCTCAGTACAGGCGCTCCAGGGCTGGGTTCGCAGAGCGGCTTCGTTCTGCACTTGCTTACACAGCACTATTGGATAAGCGTCCTTAATGCAACGGGAGAGAGCGTTCGAAAGGGAGCACTCCGGTTACCTCGCTGAGATAAGGGAATGAGCGTTGCGTAGGCTGCCGTGGTATAAAAGCTGCACGCGAGTCAAAGACTGTCGCTTGATTTGAAAGATTCTGATATAAAGAGTGCTCAGCGCCGACTTATATAGCAGTCGGCTACACAAACGTGAACAAATCAGGCTTCAGTATCAGAGTAAACTGGAGTTTCCCCATAAGCGTCCTTGATGCAACGCTCATTCCCTTATCTCAGGGAGCCGAAGTTACATTAGTAACCGGAGCGTTTTTCCTCCACAGACAGACACATCCCAACGGTTGTAAATAGTCTTCACCGGAAGAAAACTGTGTCCATCTCATGTGGAGGGGAACACACTGCTACTTTATCAAAGGTATTATTTTGTTATATTTTATATATCCATATTATAATACCATATTTAGCATACAACAAACTGCACAGAAAATGTAGTAAATAGTTTATGTTTCAGGGCGGCACAGTATTCACATTTGGATCAGGAGGTTCTGGTCAGCTTGGCCACAAATCATTTAAAGACGAACATCATCCGCGGGTGGTTGCTGAACTGTGGGGATCTGAAGTGTCACAGGTCACATGTGGGAGGTAAAGACTGTTCATAAGCTTTATTAGCAATCAACATTTCAGATAAGTAGTAGAATCCTTTCCTCACATGGTTAACATGTCTGATGTATAAGTTTTGCTCAGTAATTAGGCATTTGATTCTTTCTTTCATAAAGACATCACACACTCGTATCAGTCGCATCGTCAAAGCTGATCTACTCATTTGGATGTGGGATGCAAGGGCAGCTGGGAAATGGAAAAATTATCAATAAGTCTGTGCCTTTCCCTGTGAATCTGTCAACTGGTAATTCAAAATTATCTTCTAATAGTAGGGTATTTTGTTATGAATATTTTTATATTCATGATGATGCTCAGAGATCTAAATTAAGTATTTGTTGCACACAGAATGTAATCATGATTATACGATTGAAAAACTCATAGCTGGGGAGAATCATTCCTTTGCCTTGTTTTTCAAGGTAGTTTGCCTTCTGGTAGTTTTCATTCACAAATTGTTTAAGAATTAAATTATTGCTTTTACTTATGTTTTTTGTGTTTATTATAGGAACCTGGGAATGAGTCTAAACCAAATCCAAGCAGAGGGATTTTGACATTAGATGACAGAATGATTGACCGATGGCTGTCTGGAAGGGATCCATGGAAAGTGGTAAAAAAGTGAGTGTTTGACTGAGTTTTATGTATTGTGCTTACCTTGATATATAAAGGCTAAAGACTCCTGTATTTTTTTTTTAGTTTGTGTATACTATTGTATGTTCATGATATAGTCTTTCTTAACATCTTACTTAACATCAATGAATCAAGACATTTGTGCCTATGACATAATGAATTTCAGACATAGTAATTAATATCAATAAACTATAAAAAAGACTGTTATTTAAAAGTATAGCTTTGTTGTCAACAGAGACATAAACAAAGTGTTCTCCTCTGCTGCCTCTCTGAATGGAAGTTTCCTCAAAACAAGGTAAATATCTTAATCAGAGTTAGAAAGTCTGATCTACTAATTCCTCCTTTTTGTGCCTAAAATTAGTTCCAACACAAATGTTAATGTAAATGTCTGTCTTTGTAGTCGTGACGAACATTATCAGACTTCTGAGGATCATTGTGGTTTGGATTTTGATCTGGTTAAAACATCCTTTGCAAAGTTATCAAAGAATGAAAGGTCAATATCAGAGGTAATGGTGAATCCAACATTTATATAAAAAAAATTTTTAAATTTTATTTTAAACAATAAGATGCAGTTAGTAATTTTTGTACCTCAGGTAGTGAAGGTGGTTCAACAGATGCTGCCGTCTCTGAATCCAAATCCAGCTGGTGTGGAAGCTCTGAGAGTTTATCTTCTCCTCCCTGAGCTCATCAGACGTCTCCAGAAACAACAAAGAACTGAACTCACTGAAGCTCTGGCCTCCAAAATCCTTCAGCTGAATCCTGATGCTCGCAAGGTGTTAGGTAAAGCTGAAGACCTTTCAGCCTTTGTGTTGTTATCCTTGTGGTATTTGTCTCAGCATTTTTGTGTTTTGTAATATTCTCAGAGATGAACTGGTCCAAACTCCCGGATGATTGCCTCAAAGGCCTGGTGAAGTTATTTAAAAAAGCATCTGCTAATTTAATTGGCAGGATGGCTGCTGACACTATGAACTGGGACATAATGACACGCCTGCCGAAATTTGTGCAGATCCTTCAGATGGTGTATCAGGTGCCTTTATTATACATCTGATCAGATATAAACATTTAACCTTCTAAATTTCATATACATTGCATGCATTTGTGTCTTTGTTGTGAAGGTCTGCTGCAGAGCCAACAGAAACATCACCAAGAGTGATTTCATCATTAATGAAATCAATGATCTGCTAGATGTGGTGAGAACCAAAAAATTGTGTATATGGGCTTTTGGCTGATAATTATACATTATCATCTACTGTATGTCTTTTTGATAGGCAACAGTAAATATTGAAGCAATCACTGTATTTATCATACATAAATGACTGAAGTTATTCAAAACATACAGTACACAAAAACATATCCGAAAACACATGATCTTTTGACAGGGCTGCAGTTTTTAGGTTAGATTTAAGCAGTTAACCACAGCTGTCCATTGATAATTTCAGTATTAATATACTAATCGATCATTAATTCCAATTTATAATAAACTATGTTTTTTAGAAGAAAACCAAAAATGCTAGAGAATTTTGTTTTCCCCAAATCAACAGCTGGAAACCACCAATGAAGATGTGAGTAACAATTTGCAGTGGTTTAACTTGACTGGACAAATCCATGCATTGATGGCCCAGCAAAACTACTATAATGTGAGCAACAAAGACGTTTGGCCAGATCTAATATGTATGCAAATTTCAGCTCCAGTAACTCGATGTTTCCTATTTCTTTTGTTTTAGACGATCTTAAAAAATCTCATATCACTTCCATGCATCTTTAACCTGGAGGCCAAATGTAGCTATATGAAGAACAGAGTATGGCAGGTAATTTTGCATTGACCTAAAAAAAAGTTTCCTGGGAATTACTTCTGTGTCCATATTCTTTGTAATCACAGAATGAAATATTTTAAATGCAGGGTAGTTTTAATCTGATTCTGAGACGTACAGCTCTGCTGGAGGATTGTTTCCATCA